CACACACACACACTCGCTTACTCGCACTCACACTAGTGCGCGCGACGAGCATATCGATTGCCAGCATGCAGGTTTGCCGTCGCGCATTCATGTGCTCTGGACTGTCCCAGCAAGCCCTCCCCTCTCCTGCGACACACACATACACACACACACACACACACACACACACCTTACGCGAACCCTTCTGGGAGGAGCGGGCGCCAGGGGTGGTTGGGGAAATACCACCCTCCATTTCGAAACTATGTTTTAGAGCACGTCTCCCACCGTGCGACGTTACCTCTATACTGTCGTGTGGTACCCATACCCATGCATTCGGAACACCTTTATTGTGGTCTACAGGGACGCTTGCAGGTCCTGTCGTGCTCCCGCGCATGCCGGCCCCGCTCTCTATTCGTCCCTTTTTATTTCCCCCGACATAACCCACTCCGTTTGGCGGGCGCGGCAGCGCGTGCAGGTCTGCGCAAAGCCCCAATGCGCTATTTACTGCGACCGACAAATAAAGCAAAGCCCCGGCCAGCGACCGCGCCGCGCCCGCCGCTGTGCAGAAAAAAAGCAACGGAAAGGGGGCAAAAGGAGTGCACGTAGGCTGTCCTTGTCGCTCACAGGGGGAAAGGGAGAGGGGTGGGTGGGGGTGGGGTGCATGCTATGCGAGTCCGGCGCGCTGCGCTACACTGTCCGCCCCCTGACACGGCCTGCATCGGATGGGCCTGTTGTGGTCTGCTGCGCCTGGGACGTGCGCTTTTTTTCACTTGTTTTTATTTTTACTTGTCTCCCTTTCCATATCGGTGGTTGTCTCCCCCCCCCACACCTTTTTTGTTTTTAATCGTTTTTGTCCGAGATGAGCACCGGTGTTTAATGAGCCGCGGCACACGGAGCGATTGCTCCCCGGAGAGTGGGCGGAGGGCACCCTCTCTCTGGTCAACGGGGAGGTGCTTGAGCACCCTCTCTCTGTACAACAGAGAGGTGCTTGAGTACTCCCTCTCTGAACAATAGAGAGGTGCTTGAGTACTCCCTCTCTGGACAACGTGGAGGTGCTTGAGCACCCCCTCTCTGATCAACGGGGAGGTGCTTGAGCACCCTTTCTCTGGGCAACAGGAAGGTGCTTGAGCACCCCCTTTCTGGACAACGGGGAGGTGCTTCAGCACCCTCTCACTGGTCAAGGGGGACATGCTTGAGCACCCTCTCTCTGGACAACGGGGACGTGCTTGGGCACCTTCTCTGGACAACGGATAGGTTCCTGGGCACCCTTTTTCTAAACAATGGGGAGCTGCTTAGACTAAACAAAACACCCTCTCTCTAGACAATAAGGGCGGTTAGGGACCTCTTTCCCTGCGGACAGAATGTCGTCCCATATGCTTTTGGTACCTGATCTCCAACTGCGGTGACGTTGCAGGCTGATGGCTCTTCGGTTCCTTGACGGACTTGGACCTTCTCTGGAGATCTTATGTACTGCTGTGGTTCCTCTCACCACGTAAAAATAACAAGGCAATCCTATAAGCAGACTATCCTAAGGTCACACTTTTC